TAATTGGCAGCAGCTCTCCAGGGTTCCAAGTAGTGCTCGGACGGCCATTTCAGGCCCATTTTGAACGATTGATAAGAGATTGCAGGGAAAGTATTTTAATTTACTACGTTTGCATCCCTTGTCTGTGCTCCGGGAAGCTCAAAACAGCATACCGTATTTTTCGGTCTATAAGATGCACCAGACCACAAGATGCACCTAATTTTTGGAGGAGGAAAACAAGAAAAAAAAATATTCTGAATCTCAGAAGCCAGAACAGCAAGAGGGATCGCTGCGCAGTGAAAGCAGCAATCCCTCTTTCTGTTCTGGCTTCTGGGATAGCTGTGCAGCCTGCATTCGCTCCATAAGACGCACACACATTTCCCCTTACTTTGTAGGATGGAAAAAGTGAATCTTATAGAGCAAAAAATACGGTATATGGCTGCCTTCCCCTTCGTTTTACCCCCACAACAACCCTGTGAGGCAGCTTAAACAACCACAATGAAAGCACAGCATGAAGAGGAGAGCCTGCGTGTTGCCTTGTGGGTGCCATAAAAGGATGTTGCTGTTTGATACAACCTGAGGCTCCTTCGTCGATTTACTCTCCGCCACACGTTTCTCTCCACCTGGAGAAATTAGATGTTTACATGCCTGGATGATAGTTCCTGCTCCTGAAGCCTAATGGCTCATGCGATACCTTGGCAACCCATTCATCGCTTCACTTTATAAGTTCTTATTGCATGGTGCCAGAGCAATGCGGAGCTCAGGGCTCCAGCTGGTGAGCTTCCTGGTCCAGCAATCATCTTTAGTCATCCTCCCTCAGGGCCAGAAAAGCCTTACCAAAAGTTGTTTTCTTTGCTGCTGGAGCAGCACACAGCAGAACTTGGATGGATTCTGCTGAAGCGGAAGGGTTGCAAATAGTTCCTCACGGATACTCGTTTGCACAAGGCCACATACTGTTGTAAACAAAATCTGCCCTTCTTCCCTTATGGGGTATCCAAGAGCCCATATAGAGTCCTTACGTGGGTTCCCTACTCTTAGAAGAAAATAACAGAGGCCAACCAGAGAATATTGAGAAGCAAAGCAGCTAGTAAGCCTGATCTTTATTGATCTATTGCAACAGGGTGCTCTCCTCACACGCAGGAAAGGAGGAGGACCTAAAACAACGGTGTGCCTGCCCTTATATAGACATTTTAAATTCCCCGCCCTGGAGCTCAAGACCACCCCTCCATACGCCATACATACATCACAGCAGGGGTGTAAACCAAGACCACCCCCCACAAGCATCATACCTACATCACAGAAAAGGCGGTCTACAACAGAAATTTGAGTGTTGTTGTTTTCCCTGTCTGGCAGGTTTTCTGCTAATGCCTTATCTGATTGCCTCTCCTGGTAGTCTGCCTATTCCTCTGGAATAGTGATCACCCACTTCCTGAGACAATGGGAAAGTTCCCCCACCCCATCCCTCCTTGCAGAGAAAACATTTGGTCAGTTTGGGAGCCAAAATGGTTTCAGGGAGTCAAAATGGTTTCAGGGAGGTCTTCCTGTGCTGCTCCAGAAATTGGTACATTTATGAACATTTTATATATATATATATATATATATATATATATATATATATATATATGCTTTCGTAGATTTTCACGGGTACAGGAATGCAGGTTTTGGTGTCCTCGGGTGTCTTCCCGTGTAAAAGTTGGGGTGTCTAGGCGACGTTTCGACGAGGTCTCACTCGTCATCTTCAGGCTGGTGCTTTCGGCTTCTTGTTACTGGAACAGAGCAGGATCTCAGTGTTTGAGTTCCTATAAATACTGTTGAGGGGGTGTGGTGTATAGCCTCCAATGTTCTGGGCAGAGAGGAAGTTCCCAGGCTGGTGTGCCTTTTCTTCTTTTTGTTCCTTAATTACTTGAGGGATATCTTGAGTGATTTCTTGAGTGATATTCTGAGTACCACTTAGGTGGGTCATTAGGTGTGGATTAGTTGCTAAAGTCTTCGTGTCTTGACCTCTTGAACTTTGTGAAGAGTTTTTCTGAGAAGATGGCTGTACTGCACTTAGTTGTGCTCTGGCTTGGCTTCGTGTATAGGGGCGAGCTGTGGTTTTGTGCCCTGTGCCAGCCAGATCTGTGTAGGGATTGCAGGGGGGTGCAGCATCCGGAGGTGCCACCATGGTTTGGCTACTGGATGGTGTCTGTAATTTATCTGTGGAGAGGGTCTGGGTTTGGGTCTGGTGTGGTTGATTGGTGATGGCGTTCTGTGTGCCTCTGGATCTGGTGTCGGTTTTTGTGGGGAGGGCTAATTTCCAGATGTCTGGCAGGCGGGACGTGTCGTCACGCTTGTTTCATGTTGTGAGGGTGTTTCTCTATCTCGATGGCTTCCATGATTATTCTCTTGTGGTGATGTTCCATGTTAAAGAGCAATTTGGAATCTGCAAAATTAATTTCGTGTCCTGTTTCTTTCATGTGTTGGAAAAGAGAGGAAGTTTTTTCTTCTTTTTTGACGGCATTCTTGTGTTCTGCGATACGTGCATTTATTCGTCTGTTTGTTTGTCCAATGTACGTGGCCGGGCAGACTTTGCAGGGTATTTCATAGACCCCTTGGTTTTCCAACTGGATTTTATCTTTGGGGTTTCTGAGGATATTGGCTATTTTTTGGTTGGTGCAAAAGGCTGTTTTGATATTGTGTTTATGGAGGATTTTGCTAATTTTATCTGTAGTGCCCTTGATATAAGGAAGGAGGGCCATGCCATTGTTTTCTTCTGTGTCTTGGTTTTTGGGGGGTGTTTCTTTTTGGATTAGCTTCGTAACCCTGTTTTGCTGGTATCCATTGGCGATTAACACATTTGAGAGATTCTGTAACTCAGTTGTCAAGTGGTCTTTGTCAGCCAGGCGTTTGGTTCTGGAGATGAGAGTCTTGGGCTACGGAGTTTATTTGTGCAGGGTGGTGGTGTGATTGTGCATGTAAGTAGCGGTTGGTGTGTGTTTTTTCCGGTAGATAGTGTGTCCTAGGGAGCCATCAGGTTTTTTGCACGTATAGAACACAAGAATGCCGTCAAAAAAGAAGAAAAAACTTCCTCTCTTTTCCAACACATGAAAGAAACAGGACACGAAATTAATTTTGCAGATTCCAAATTGCTCTTTAACATGGAACATCACCACAAGAGAATAATCATGGAAGCCATCGAGATAGAGAAACACCCTCACAACATGAACAAGCGTGACGACACATCCCGCCTGCCAGACATCTGGAAATTAGCCCTCCCCACAAAAACCGACACCAGATCCAGAGGCACACAGAACGCCATCACCAATCAACCACACCAGACCCAAACCCAGACCCTCTCCACAGATAAATTACAGACACCATCCAGTAGCCAAACCATGGTGGCACCTCCGGATGCTGCACCCCCCTGCAATCCCTACACAGATCTGGCTGGCACAGGCCACAAAACCACAGCTCGCCCCTATACACGAAGCCAAGCCAGAGCACAACTAAGTGCAGTACAGCCATCTTCTCAGAAAAACTCTTCACAAAGTTCAAGAGGTCAAGACACGAAGGCTTTAGCAACTAATCCACACCTAATGACCCACCTAAGTGGTACTCAGGATATCACTCAAGAAATCACTCAAGATATCCCTCAAGTAATTAAGGAACAAAAGAAGAAAAGGCACACTAGCCTGGGAACTTCCTCTCTGCCCAGAACATTGGAGGCTATACACCACACCCCTCAACAGTATTTATAGGAACTCAAACACTGAGATCCTGCTCTGTTCCAGTAACAAGAAGCCGAAAGCACCAGCCTGAAGATGACGAGTGAGACCTCGTCGAAACGTCGCCTAGACACCCCAACTTTTACACGGGAAGACACCCGAGGACACCAAAACCTGCATTCCTGTACCCGTGAAAATCTACGAAAGATATATATATATATATATATATATATATATATATATATAATATATTTAGCAGGGTTGGCACTACCATGACACAATGTGAATTATTTGATGTTGTTTAGTCGTTTAGTCGTGTCCGACTCTTCGTGACCCCATGGACCAGAGCATGCCAGGCACTCCTGTCTTCCACTGCCTCCCGCAGTTTGGTCAAACTCATGCTGGTAGCTTCGAGAACACTGTCCAACCATCTCGTCCTCTGTCATCCCCTTCTCCTTGTGCCCTCCATCTTTCCCAACATCAGGGTCTTTTCCAGGGAGTCTTCTCTTCTCATGAGGCGGCCAAAATATTGGAGTCTCAGCTTCAGGATCTGTCCTTCCAGTGAGCACTCAGGGCTGATTTCCTTAAGAATGGATAGGTTTGATCTTCCTGCAGTCCATGGGACTCTCAAAAGTCTCCCCCAGCACCATAATTCAAAAGCATCAATTCTTCGGCGATCAGCCTTCTTTATGGTCCAGCTCTCACTTCCATACATCATACTGGGAAAACCATAGCTTTACCTATACAGACCTTTGTCAGCAAGGTGATGTCTTCTGCTTTTTAAGATTCTGTCTAGGTTTGTCATCGCTTTTCTCCCAAGAAGCAGGCATCTATTAATTTCGTGACTGCTGTCTCTATCTGCAGTGATCATGGAGCCCAAGAAAGTAAAATCTCTCACTAGGACCATGAAATAGTAAAGTGGCACTTTTGAGGACCACTGTGCCTTGATTCTGGGAATGAAATACTGGCCATAGCTTAGTATTTATTTATCATTACACCTGGATCCCATATTTGTCCAAGGAGCTCAAAGTGGTATATATGGTTCTGCCTTCTCCATGTTATTCTTGCAACAACTCTTTGCAGCGCAGTGATTGGTTCATGGTCTCCCAGTGAGTTTCGTGCTCCAGTTTGGATTGAATTATGGTATCCCAAGTCCTAGTCCAGCACTCTAACCAACACACTGGCTCCCTCTGACACAATGAAGACCTGGGCCTCTTGTTTCAATTTACTCTCCTGTTGGTTGTTTTCCTATTTGCTGTCTGCTGGTGAATTCTCAGGTTAATACTTGGAAAATGCTGGTCTGCTTGTTCTTTTATTAGTAACTGCTACGATAATTGTGGAAGTCTTACCTGTCAATGAATTTGGGCCGGCATTTAGTAAAGCAGATTATGCGTTTGTTGTTCCTGAAACGGCTGGAGGTACGTCACAATATTTGATTGTTCCTTTTTAAAATTAAGTAAAATATATTAACTGCTTTGCCTTATAAAAAAAGCTCAGAGAAGCGTAGAATGATAATCCTTTTTTAAAAAAAAATATATTCAGATGCAATGAATAAAGCAAAACTTGAGCTTAGCACGAGAGCTGCCGTACTAAACTTGAACCAGAAGCTCAAAATTAAGAGAAATTAAGTCATAACATGGCAATGATCATTATACTGTGATAATTATAAAATTGCAGTTCTTTGTGTTAGTGTGTATGGTTTATTTTATTATTTTCTATTTCTTAAAAATTATACTCTCATTGTTTCTTGCTTATTATTAGTCACCTTTGGAACATAAAATTACATTGAAGGCATGGAATAGAAATTATGGGAAGGAAGGAAGAAAAGAAAGAAGGAAGGAAGGTTGTCAGCTGCTCATAATTATCCATAATTATTCACACTTTTACTGGCCTTGACTTGAAATTGAACTGGATACCGTTGTCATTAGTCATAGGAAGGCGTCATATTTCTCCACCTAGGCCACCAATATTGTCAACTTTGACTGGAAGCTCTCCAAGGTCTCAGGCAAAGGTCTTTTCTTTCACCAGCTACTAAATTGTTGCTAGCTGGAGATGTGGGGGATCAAACATAGAGCCTTCTGTTTGCAGAGTTTGTGACCTGTGTACCACTGAGCTATAGCAATGGGCATTGACTTGAATCAGTTGAGGGAGGGTGGAAATCAGGTAGGTGAAAATAAAAAAAATATAGGAACATCACGATGCTGTCACTTCCTTTATAGCAGTGCCCATAAAAAGGCCAAAAGAACGAGCTGCATTTATTTTATTTTTTTGCATTAGTACAAAATTGCCTTGTATGGGGTCTTGGTAACTATATAATTTGAACACAATACAGCAATCTGAAATATTTAAAGTAATTTTCTCTGATGAAGTTTGACACATACACGGATCCGCTGCTGACAGCAAAAGAAAAAGGCACACACACACACACACACACACACACACACACACACATGAAATTAGTTTCCTTTTAACCACCACCTCCCCATCTAGTTTAAAAAGATCCGAAACAGCTTCATGGTAAACGGAAAAGCTCAATCACATTGTGCCGGAAGCCACGAGGGAAATGCAATTCGCTTACAGTAGTTTTTCAAGGAGAAAAGTTGGCAGCCTTTCAGGAGCCTTCATAATGGCTCTATTTTAAACTCGAGCTTGAGAAGTGCTCAGGTTAGCTTTTTATGCTTTATTGAAAGGTTAATTTCATACCCACGTAAAAGTATCGGTTTTCTATTATGTTTAACAGAGTTACAATGTGGAAATGAGAGAAACTCTTAGTACAGTGGTACCTCGGGTTAAGAACTTAATTCGTTCCGGAGGTCCGTTCTTAACCTGAAACTGTTCTTAACCTGAGGTACCACTTTAGCTAATGGGGCCTCCCGCTGCCACCGGCGCGCAATTTCTGTTCTCATCCTGAGGTAAAGTTCTTAACCCGAGGTACTATTTCTGGGTTAGCGGAGTCTGTAACCTGAAGCGTCTGTAACCTGAAGCATCTGTAACCTGAGGTACCACTGTATGTACTTGTGCAATATAAGCTGCATTTTTAACCCGTTGTTGTGTTTTTTTGAGGGGAAGGGCTCAGTGGGAGAGCACCTGCTTGGCATGCAGAAGAGTAATTCATCATCATCTCCAGGTAGAATGGGAAGAGGCCTCTGACTGAAGCCATGGACAGCTGCTGACAGTCAGTGTGTATACAGTACTCAATTAGGTGGACCCAGTGGCCTGATTCGGTATACAGTGGTACCTCGGGGTTATATACACTTCAGGTTACAGACTCCGATAACCCAGAAATATTGCTTCAGGTTAAGAACTTTGCTTCAGGATGAGAACAGAAATCGTGCTCCGGTGGCACGGCAGCAGCAGGAGGCATCATTAGCTAAAGTGGTGCTTTAAGGTTAAGAACAGTTTCAGGTTAAGTATGGACCTCCGGGACGAATTAAGTACTTAACCCGAGGTACCACTGTAAGGCCTATTCCTATGCTACACGCTTTGTTAGCAGAACCAAGGCCCAGTAGTAGACACCTTTTGTCTGACTGCAAAGGTTTCAGTTCAGGCTTCGTAGACATAAAAGGTAGTGGAAACATTTCTTTTTTCCTCCTCTTCTCCTTTGCCCACCCGTCACCCTTAAGTCCTGGGTCAGTTTACAATTAAAACACAATATTATAGGCAGTTTCAAACAACTTACTATTCTAGAAATTAGGTGGGTACTGAGGTGCACCTCTTTGACCTGGCTTTTGACGCTTGAGGTATATATTCAGCATTTGCCGAAAGCTTAATAATAATAATAATAATAATAATAATAATAATTTATTTATACCACACCCATCTGGCTGGGCTTCCCCAGCCACTTTGGGCGACTTCCAGTAAAATATTAAAATACAATAATTCACCACTTTCTGGTTCCCTGTAACTTTGATTCTCGCAGTCAGGGATCTGCCAGAAGGCCCTCGGCGCTGGATCTCAGTGGCCGGTCTGAGCGATGGTATACTGGGCCGAGGCTGTTTAGGGCTTTAAAGGTCAGCACCAACACTTTGAATTGTGCCCGGAAACATACTGGGAGTTGTGCCCTTCCAATGTATGTAACGAAGGTGCCAGATGCATCTCTGTGGGGAATGAGTTCCACAACTTGGGGATTACCACAGAGAATACCCTCTCCCTGAGCTTCTGAGGCTGGTGGAACAACCAAAATGGCCCCCTCTGCTGATCTTAACACCTTAAGAGTGAAGGAGGTGATCTTTTAGGTGTTGGGGGCCTAAGACCTTTAGGGGTTGGAGCACTAATGTGAACACCTTGAATTGGGGCTAGAAATGAACTGGCAACTGGGGCAGCTGTTTTAAAACAGTTCACTAATAAACAGAACCACGTTAGCTAGTCACTACTTGGCGTCTGCTTGCTGCATTTACAGGAACACTAGGCACGCTATTTCAGAAATCCCAGGCTGGACTCATGTGGGTCTTGCCTATGGACCTCAGATTTTAGAATAGAATCATAGAATCATAGAGTTGGAATAGACCACAAGGGCCATCGAGTCCAACCCCCTGCCAAGCAGGAAACACCATCAGAGCACTCCTGACATATGGTTGTCAAGCCTCTGCTTAAAGACCTCCAAAGAAGGAGACTCCACCACCCTCCTTGGCAGCAAATTCCACTGTCAAACAGCTCTTACTGTCAGGAAGTTCTTCCTAATGTTTAGGTGGAATCTTCTTTCTTGTAGTTTGGATCAGTCAGCATCACCTCCTGCCGTTGGTCTGGGCTCCTTTCAGCCTTATTATGTTCCATTGCTCTGAACATTTAAAAGGACACTGCGGGAAAAGGACAATGGCGGCAGCAACTTGCTGAGATCAGATGCAGATGCGGGGACCTATGTATGGGAGGTAGGATAGAAACCAGGGGCCAGAGTGGAGCTGATACAAAACATTTTGCAGCTTGAATGACAAGCTGGAATACCTCCCCATTCCATGTACGAAAGCTGTTTCGGCTGACAGCTGAATCGTACTTCAGCACTGCAGATGGGATAGCATCCTCCATGGCACCTGAGGAGGCAGAGCAGTTTAGGGAGGCCAGGACAGGCGACAAAGCATACGCAAATGGGTCCTCCAACAGAGGGTTTAGGAGGAAAAGCCTGAGAGCTGCTGGTCTGATGGTATGGCCAGAGCCAAATGCAACAGCCAAGGGTGGGGGGACAACTTAAGTCCATCTTTTACCCAAGCCATTGAATCTGAACCCACAGTTGCTTAATCCGACCTCAATTCTTGTTACGGAATACAAATATTATCCTGGAAGTCCTTGTTTTGTGACATTTTAGGGCTATTTATTAAGCAGTACGGACCCACGTACCTACAGGACCGCCTCTCCTGGTATGCCCCACAGAGGACCTTAAGGTCCACAAATGACAACATTTTGGAGGTCCCAGGTCGCAAGGTCATTAGATTGGTCTCAACTAGGGCCAGGGCCTTTTCAGTACTGGCCCCGACTTGGTGGAGCCCTCTATCACAAGAGACTAGGGCCCTGTGGGACTTGACATCTTTCCACAGGGCCTTGACATCTTTCCGCCTGGCCTTTGGTTTGGACTCAGCCTGACCCTTATGTTTCCCTCCCCTTACAGTCTTGATTTATCGGCTACTTTAAAATGAGACTGCATTCTAAATTCCATTTTAACCTGTATTTTAAATTGGTTCTCTTGGTTCTCTCTCTCTCTCTCTCTCTCTCTCTCTCTCTCTCTCTCCTATTATGTTTTCACTGTGATTTTATTGGTGTTAGCCGCCCTGAGCCCGGCTCTGGCCGTGGAGGGCGGGGTATAAATAATTTATATTATTATTATTATTATTATTATTATTATTATTATTATTATTATTATTATTATTATTTTATTATATAAATTAACAGCACTGATGTGTGCAAGAGGCACAGCTGATCTCCATATTTAGCGACATGTGGGTCCTTCCTCTTCGCCCACCACTCACCTTTGAGTTCTCTCCTTTGCCTGTAAACAAAATGCCACGCAACTAGTTCGGGGGAAGATGCACCCCTAGAGTCTTTTATAGAGAATAGAAATCAAATTGGAGAAGAATTTAATGGTCAATTACGCCGCAGTCTCATCCCAACAGCGATAAATGCAGCTTATGCCTTGTACTCATTGTGAGGTAATTAAGGAGCTCCTGTTTGTGTCATTTTTGCCCTGTTATATGGCTAAATAAGAAGGGATTGCTAATAAGCCTTACAAAGGCAGCACAGTAATAGGCTCATTTTCTGAGCGCACGGCTTTCACTGTTGAAAAAGGAGAGGGCTCCACTTAGTCACTACTACATTAATTCCAGGTAAATGAAACCGAGTCTGAAAATTAGCACTTGTAAAACACCACTGTCTTCTTACAGCTCACCATAAAGTTGGACAAGTAACCGCCACAGATGAAGACTACCCATCAGACTGTGTGACCTATAGAATAGGCCATGGAGACATTTTTTACCCCGTTGAGATATTCTGGTTGGATCCAGTGTCTGGAGTAATAGAACTGATAACAGAACCAGACTACGAATCTGTCCAGCAGTACAAACTGATCATTGAAGCTGTTGACTGTGATCTGTTTCATCCCAGAACTGCTAGTACTCTAGTAAGTCTGAGTTAACCATTTTTCTTATGGACATTATCCAGCCAGTTCTTTTAACTTTCCTTTCTATAGTAGCTGAATTATGCGCAATCGGTCCACTAGAATGGGAAAATCAAAGGCAGGAGGGTGTCATGCAAACCGTTTTATTTCATAGGGTACCAATGTAAAGAAACTCTTGTGCCTTTGCCGCACCATTTTATGAACTCCAAAGGTCCAAAGTGGGCCTTGCCTTTGTTTTCACTGCTTCTTCCCAGTCAAACCATCAACATGACCGGAGAGCAAAACTCTCATATCGCATACCCCAGAGGAACTTATTAAATGGCTAGACATGTAGTGCTGAGCAGTAAAAGTAGCATTTCTTTTAGAAAAGAAGGAAAGGTAAATTAAACTCTGGAATTCTCTGCCACAAAATATGGTAATGGCCACCAATTTAGACATCTTTTCAAGGCGGGATTGGATTGAGACTACAGTTTCAGTGTTCCCACAGGCCACTGTAAGAACAGGATGCTGGACTTATGTTCTTATCACAGATTTTGGGCTGTTGGAAAGAATTAACACAAGGGGTGTTTTTTTACAAGGTAGCACCATGCATCACGTGAAGCTCTGTCTTGAAAAGGAGGCAAGGAAGTCATGGATGAAGAATGATAATGTCAAAAAATGGAATGCCGTCTGATTTCTTTCCACAGGGCCTGTAAGACAGAGTTGTTCCGCCTGGCCTTTGGCTTGGAATCAACTTGATCCCCTCCCCTTCTTTCCTTTTTCCTTTCTTCTTCTGTGATGGAACTCCTATTTGGGGACTTCCCTGGCTTTTTTCTGGCCCACATAGGACCAGTCTGGATAGCTGGCCTTGGTGAAGATTTGACATTTTCATCCCCAAAAAGTTTTTGATTTGAGTTTCTACTGAAATGAGGCTGCATTTTAATGTTGTATTTTAATCTTGTTTTTAAGTTGTATTTTAATCAATTGTTTTTATACCTGGTGTTAGCTGCCCTGAGCCCGATCTTGGCTGGGAAGGGCGGGGTATAAATAACATTTATTATTATTATTATTATTATTATTATTATTATTATTATTACTACTATAGGGTTGCAGAGGGTAGAGGCAGATGGGGGGGGGCAAGGGAACAGATTAAACAACTAAGAGTAGGGAAGGAAGGATTACCTGGTGAGTGATATGGAGACAATAACACAAAGATCACTAAATCTTACCACCAAAAAGCTCTTTGCAATAATTTGGTCTGGCATTCTGCAAAGCAGAAGTAACCGAAAAACAACTTTCAAAAGAGCTCTAGTCCTATTTTGCAGGTAAAGGTCCCATGTGGATTAGTGGAGACGAGAAGGTGCCACCTTTCAACAGCACCCTGTGGCAGTGTGCCAAGCATCAAGTCAGACCAGGAAAGCTCTGAACTCTGGAAATATGAAAAGCTCCATTTTGGGCTAGGGTTCTCAGTGGGTCTTGAGGAAAGAGACATATTGGAATTGACATCCCAAATTACAGCATACTTTATATACGGGGCCATGAGGGGCTTCAGTATAAAAACATGAGTACAGTTGTACCTCGGGTTACATACACTTCAGGTTACATACGCTTCAAGTTACAGACTCCGCTAACCCAGAAATAGTACCTCAGGTTTGCTTCAGGATGAAAACAGAAATCGTGCTCCGGCGGTGCAGCGGCAGCAGCAGGAGGCCCCATTAGCTAAAGTGGTGCTTCAGGTTAAGAACAGTTTCAGGTTAAGTACGGACCTCCAGAACAAATTAAGTACTTAACCCGAGGTTCCACTGTATATCAGAAATGAGCAAAGACCTCCCCTTTCTCATCTAGAGAGGAAGGCGTGGCTCTATATGCCAGCCTCCCTTTTTGTCATGCAAAGTCATGACGGTTAGCACTGGATGTCCTGGTCACAGCTGGGGTCAGCTGGAGCTGCTGGCTGTTGCAACGGAGGCACCGCAAGCAAGCAGTTCATCTGTTGAGCATGTCTCTGTACTGCTGTTCTGTCCCTAGCTGCTGGGAACATTTTAATTAACACCTACAAGCATAGGATTACTGTAACACAGAAAGCTCATTCATTGATAATAAATTACAAGCTTGCAGCACTTTCTTCTGTAACACTAGGGTGTAATAATGATAGGTACAACAGAATATATATTTTCAGGTGGGGGGCATGTGGAACACATAACAGCAGATCGTGCCTAAGCCAAAGAGACTGTTCTGGTTGGTTTTCCATTTCTCCCTGTATTATTATTGTTATTATTATTATTATTATTATTATTATTATTATTATTATTATTAATTAATCTAGATGCAACTCTACTGCAATCATCACAAAGTATTTAGATTTGTTACTTAAATTTGATGACTTGATTTTGGTGATTTGGATTAATCCCACAGAAGTCAAGGAGCATAGCGAAAGAGCAGAACAGGTTGCATAAATCCAAGAAAACAATTGCTTGCAGTGGGACACATTAAGCCAGCTACTAGTACAGTGGCCCAACAAAGCTCAAATGAATGATGTCTCAGACTGCCATAAAGAGGTGTGTCAAGTATCTGGCAAGCCAGAATACATGGCTTGCTGGGCCCCTTTTGGCTTGGCAGGGTACAAAAACTAAAGCATTATTTTATTGGGTGGGGAAAGGAAGTGTCTTAGAAGCTTTTACAGTGGTACCTCGGGTTACATATGCTTCAGGTTACATACGCTTCAGGTTACAGACTCCGCTAACCCAGAAATAGTACCTTGGGTTAAGAACTTTGCTTCAGGATGAGAACAGAAATCGTGCTCCTGCGGCGCGGCGGCAGCAGGAGGCCCCATTAGCTAAAGTGGTGCTTCAGGTTTAGAACAGTTTCAGGTTAAGAACGGACCTCTGGAACGAATTAAGTACTTAACCCAAGATACCACTGTACTCACCTTACCTACACAAATGTATCTTTTTTTTCTGGTGGAGAGGCAACAGTGATTAAAGTACACGGACTTAGGATGCAATTAGTCTGCTCCAACGGGAAATGAAGCTGTAACCTGTCGTGTAAAATGCCACTAGCTGTTTCTCTGTCCTTCTTTGATCAGAGCAGCTTCCTCTCTGACTTCTGGAGAGCAGGTTTCTGCTTAAGCAATGCCCTGTTGCTTGTGGACTTTTGTTGCAGTGATTTAAAAAATGATTTGAAAAATTCAGCTGCACTGATTTTCTCAGCAGCAGTAGCACTTTGCTAACGCTTTCTGTCTCCTACATGCTGCTACAAAGCAGATAAGCTAATTACAGGTGTCATGGGCCCTGAGGGCAGATGGAGTTCAGTCAGCCAAGCAGAGACCTGGCCCTAGGGTGATCTAGAAGTGCAGAGGCGAAGCAACCAGAATAGGTGTCAAATACAGGTGCTCAGTTAACACCAAAACTTCACCTTGGGACAAATGTATACGTCTATGCTGCATTTTTTAAAATTAACAGCCCTTCCCCAAGTGTAATGTATCTGAGGAATGCAAGAAGCTGATATATACCAGCTTGGACCTTTCATCCATATGGCACACCTTTCAACAGTTCTCTGATGAAAATAGGATGAAAATAAAGGTAAAGGTAAAGGTACCCCTGCCCATACGGGCCAGTCTTGCCAGACTCTAGGGTTGTGCGCCCATCTCACTCAAGAGGCCGGGGGCCAGCGCTGTCCGGAGACACTTCCGGGTCACGTGGCCAGTGTGACATCGCTGCTCTGGCGAGCCAGAGCCGCACACGGAAACGCCGTTTACCTTCCCGCTAGAAAGCGGTCCCTATTTATCTACTTGCACCTGGGGGTGCTTTCGAACTGCTAGGTTGGCAGGCCCTGGGACCGAGCAACGGGAGCGCACCCCGCCGCGGGGATTCGAACCGCCGACCTTTTGATCGGCAAGCCCTAGGCGCTGAGGCTTTTACCCACAGCGCCACCCGCGTCCCCAGGATGAAAATAGGAATGTCCTATACAACAACAACAACAACTTTTATACTGGCCCATCTGACTGGGTTGCCCCAGCCACTCTGGGCGGCTTCCAACATATATAAAAACATGATAAAACATTAAACATTTTAAAACTTCTCTATACTGGACTGCCTTCAGATGGCTTGGGGGCTTGGATAACGCCATACCCTCCAACATTTCTCCGATTAAAATAGGGATGTCCTAAGGTGAAGCAGGACATTCTGGGGTCAAATCAGAAACTGGGACGGCTTCTGTCCATTGGGAAAATAGGGACACTGGGAGGGTCTGATATGGATCCCTGTACTGTCTACTCAGGCTGGCAACAGCTCTCTGGAAACTCAGGGAGAAACTCTTTTCCATCACTTGGACTGGGCAGGACTTCAGATACAGGACACCTTCAGGAGGACTGTTCTTTGTAAAACAAGACACCTGGCCAACCCACTTGGAAGAGCAGCTGCCCCACATTAACATGTGGGAAGGGTCCCTGAAATACCTCTTTGGCTGTGTCTCCTTGTCCACAGTGGCTCTGGAATATTCAATGTGTTGTATGAATGCATCCAATCTGTGAGAGAAGCAGCATGCTCCTGTCCCCTGAATCTCCCAGATAAGGACTGCTGTTTTCTGCACCTGTAGACTTGCTAGTGAGTGCCTATTAGGTTGTACAGAGAGCTTTCCTCATCCTTTAGCCCACAGGGGCTCATTATGCAACCAGATCTCAGTTCCTCAGGCTTTCCAAGTCAGAAGATTCTGTTTCAGACTGGCTTGAGCTCCAGCATCTTTCATTTTAAGCCTGGAATAAATATAATTACTTAAAAAAAAAAAGATAATCGTAAAAACTGCTGAGAACCATGCCTTACTATTTCAAATGCTACTGTCTCCTTGCACAAGTAGATCAAGGAAGAGTGCTGGTACTTTCGGTTTTCCTTTGCTTGCAAACAACTGGAAAATGCCATTACTGCTTTTCAGTTCCCACAGCTGCAGGGGAAAAGCTTCCTGAAGCAATTCTCTTTGGGAATTATTAAAGCAGCTTTCCCGAGGTGGAGGCAAGCCGGTGACTATATTTCACCTGGCTGCTTCACAAAGGCATTATGCCTCTGAACCCCAGTTGATGGGGGCAAAAAGGCAGCTGAGCTCATGTCCAGTTTTCAGGCTTCCTGGTGGCCACTGGGAGAACAGGATGCTGGACCAGATTGGTCCAAAAGACTCTTCTTGTGCATCTTAATTTTCTAGTGTGCTTCTGTGTCTTGCCTGGGGGGGGGGCATTGTTACAGTGTTTCTCATCCAAATGCTGTTCTGAGAGAGGAGCTTACTGAGATTACTCATGAATGTTTCAGGTGGGAAACCATTCATCATCTCCGAGGCAAGTAACCCTTAGGCTGAGTCTGGCATTTCCAGCTTGCTTGGTGTTTTGATCTTTTCTGTGTAAATGAACATGGCCGATTCCCCTGCCTCCCACCCTTTGGTTTGTAATATGTGAGTAGAACCTGCAACAGAATGGAGGTGCAGAACACCAAACCTCACCACTGCCTCCCTCTTCCCATCCCCAGTAAACAGCAGCAGCATGGGTGATGGGAGGTATTATTATTATTATTATTATTATTATTATTATTATTAATTTAATTAATAATAATAATCTATAGGGATGTGGGTGGTGCTGTGGTCTAAACCACAGAGCCTAGGGCTTGCCGATCGGAATGTTGGCAGTTCAAATCCCCGCGACGGGGTGAGCTCCCATTGTTTGGTCCCAGCTCCTGCCTACCTAGCAGTTCGAAAGCATGTCAAAGTGCAAGTTGATAAATAGGTACTGCTCCGGCAGGAAGGTAAACGGCGTTTCTGTGCACTGCTCTGGTTCGCCAGAAGCGGCTTAGTCATGCTGGCCACATGACCCGGAAGCTGTCTGCGGACAAACACCGACTCCCTTAGAGCGAGATGAGCGCGCAACCCCAGAGTCGTCCGTGACTGGACCTAACAGTCAGGGGGCACCTTTACCTTTTTAAATATCTATACTGTCATTCATCCAAGGACCACAGTGTAGTTTCAATATAAAAAACACAAAAACACAAACCATACTAACAAACAAAAACAATACCCCCCCCAGTTTAAAAGGCCATAGATTGTTTAATTAGCCAAAGACCTGGGAGAAGAGGAATGTTTTTGCCTGGTGCCTTCATTACATATCTCTTGGCACCAGCCTCCTTGGGGAGAGCATTCCACAAGTGGGGAGCCACCACAGAAAAGGCCCCGTCCTCATGTTGCCACCCTCTGGACCTCTCGTGGAGGGCCTCAGGCATTTATTGCAGGGTCTGGGTTGGTTCATATGGAGAGAGGCATTACAGTGAGCCCCACTTCTGCTACTGCCTTGACAGACCCATCCTTCATGAATCGTCTCATTCCCTTTTATGTCTTGTGGCAGTCTTTTTTCCAGGGCATTAGATCCTGTTAGCCACAGTAGATGAGCCATGCCCCTCCAGCACTCTTCTGTGGGCCCCCTTTATGTATGATCCTCTTGATTTGCTGTTGTTTCTTTTAATAGGTGATGATAGATATCAGAGAAGAGAATGACGAAGCCCCCCTATGCACACCCCTTACCTATAGAGCAACAGTGCTTGACAGTACCTCCCCAGGAACAAATATAAACAGCTTTCGGCTTACCTGCCACGATAGAGACTCTGCTGATACTTCAATGCGGTTTGAGATTGTTTCCGGTAAAAGTTCTCGCATCACGAAATGTCTCCTTACGGTTTTCGATGTGGAACAACACTTTCCAAACCTTGTTGGGCTTAGCTAGGGTTGCAGTCTCCACCCTAACCACCAAATGGAGAGGCTCTGTGCTTTGAAGAGCTGTGCGCGAGTCATGCAGGAATGCAATAAGTGGAACCTTTTCTGGCATGGATATGTGCTGGTGGGAGAAGAAACGTCATTTGTTGATTTCTGTGTTATGGATGGTTAATGGCATAGGTTCTCGGGCCTCATAAACTCATGGCTTTATTCAAAGAATCCCGGAAACTGTAGTTCAGCCCTAACAGAGCTACAGCTCCCAGCACCATTTAAGAAACTACGGTTCCCAGGATTCTTGCCAGGTGGGGGAGTCGTGCCTTAAATGTTTGGTGTGTACACAGGATTAGTTCTATGAAATTGTAGTACACTGTAATGCCTCTCAGGCCATCGTAACCACTGATACTCTCAAGAGAGAAGAAAAATTCCCTGCTCCTGCAAGCCTAGTTTGTACCTTTGTTTGACACCTGCTTTTCAAATGTGCATCTTTTATGAATATTCATTTTAAAAGGAACCATTATTATCACCATTCTTAAAATCAATGCTTTACTGAATTTTGCATATTTCAAAAGAGAAAGCATATATATATATACAGACAAAAGAAAATAATTAAAAGGTACCATTATTGCCATTGTGATACCACTAAAAGTGCATTCATTGTAAGCCTTTTTGTATAAAAATACACCCGAGATAAGTTAAAATTTAGAGGCATTCTAATCTCTCTGTCTGTTCTTCACACAAAGGAAATGGTGGTAACCATTTTGGTTTTGACCCAATTCGAGGGTCCAGTTCACCACGACTGATTGTGAAAAGCCCTTTGACTTTGAAGATAGAATGGACATGCAGACCCAGTATCATCTTGTGGTTCACATTATAGATGACAACTTGTACAATAACTCTGTTTCCAAAGCTATGACAGGAACAGTCCTGATAGATGTTTCTGTGGTTAGAACCAGGACTCCTCCTCCAACAACGCCATATTTTGATGTAAGTAGTACTTTGCGTTTAGCAAAGACCAAGTGAAGCAAACAGGTGTCCAGTGGGGAAAATGCTACCCATTGGTGAGAAACCTATGGCTGTCTCGTCCTCTTTGGCAATCACTTATAGCCGAGTAAGATTGTCTTCCATAAACACAGTTTTAACAGTGAGTCCGTAAGTGACTGTGGAGGCCAGTTCTGGATCCACATGTCCTTCCACAGTGGGGAGATAGGTTTCCGGGTGGGATGTTGATCACGGTGAGGGTTTGCCAAATGTGCCTTCCTCTTAGCACATTTCTCCCTTGCGTCCTGAGTTCGAGTGTCTTCAAAGTTTCATGACACCTTTGGCAAAGGCTGTTCTCCAACTGGAGCACTTGCAGGCCAGTGTTTATACTACATTTTTAAAAAAAATTTTGCCTTGAGACAGTTTTTAAACCTCTTTTGTTGACCACCAGCATTATGCTTTTCATTTTCATGCTTCTCTGAAGTCTCTCAGCCCCACTCACCTCACAAAGTGTTTGTTGTGGGGGAGGAAGGGAAAGGAGAATGTTAGCCGCTTTGAGACTCCTTAAAGGGAGTGAAAGGCGGGATATCAAATCCAAACTCTTCTCTTCTTCTTCTTCTTCTTCTTCTTCTTCTTCTTCTTCTTCTTCTTCTTCTTCTTCTTCATTTCTAAGTTCAGAATAGAGTAGTTTGCTTTGGAAGATGATAATCAGGCATCTGAACAACATGATCAGTCAAACAGAGTTGCTGTTGAAGAATTGTTGCTTTGACACTGGTGATCTTTGCTTCTTCCCAGTACACTGGCATTAGTTCGCCTGTCTTCCCGAGTGATATGTATTTTTTTTCCGGAGACACCTTTGATGGAATCTTTTGAGTAGTTGGAGATGGTGTTTATAAGTGGTCCATGTTTCATAAACATACAGTATCATCCAGCTCAATGGTGTAACGTTGGAAAGTGTCAATCACTTATACCTGGGCAGTTATCTTTCCCAAGGGCCAATATTGATGCCAAAATCCAGCATCGCCTGTGAGTGCAGCTTTCTCCCGATTGAAGTGCAGAGTGTTTGAGGACCGGGACATTTGCAAGGAAACCAAAATGCTTGCTTACAAAGCTATTGTACTACCAGCCTGTGACTGTACAAATACTGTTAGACTACAAATTCCCATCATTCCTGACCACTGGCCCTGCTGGCTGGGGCTTATAGGAGCTGTAGTTCAAGAACATCTATGGAGTCATAGGTTCCTCATCCTTATTTTTGAGTAAGGGTGAATTGCAAGTGGCCCCTGAACATTGCAACTCAACTAACTTACCCAGGACTCAGCTACTTCAGTCAGTTATATTGTTGTAACTCCATTGTAAAGATGTGGCACCAGATGGCGCTGTAGAGCACAAAATTTATCTATGTGATTCCACATAGGGTTTTTTTCCTTTTGCTATAACAATCTAATTTATGACTTAATTATAGCATTCCACACACCCCGTGTGTAGATCCAGCCCCAAAGTCCGTTTATTAAAATGAATGGCCATGACTAACTTAGGTCCATTAATTTCAATGGTCTACTCTTAGTAAAAACTACTCAAATCCAACCCCCTGCCTTCCCGTAGTACTTTTCTTTGAATTACTGATATTAGAAATCCAAAAAAGAAAAGGCCTGGGTCTCGTTGTTCAGAAGACTGAATTAGTTACAGAAGATGCTATTAACAAACTTTCTTTCCCTGGGGTGGGGGGCTACATGGGGGAAGTGAAGGATATGTTTGTTTTAAAGATAACAAGTCAAACTCTTTCTGCTTTTGCCTGTTAAAGCAATCCCTGCCTGGCAAGTGCAGGTGTGGAGAACAACTCAAATTGACTCTTCCCTCTTATTAAAAGTCAGGAGGCTGTTCAGAGCCACTCAATATCCTGGCTGTCAGCCACACTTGCGGCTTTGTTCAGCGAATGCAACAGAGAGCCCACAGCAAGATGACTATAGCGGAGATGGAGGGGGACACTTTTGCCACAGCTTCAGACAGGCTGCCAAATCTCATGAAAGGACAGCCTTGACTACTTCTGTTTATTTGGTTGCTAACTTGAGCATAAAATTAAAAAGGAATGTATTCCTTAATTGGTTAAAAGCAGAATGTAGAAATCCCAGAGGGGGATTAGCTGCAGAATGGCCAAATTGGAAGTAACCTCCTTGAGTTTTCAGCCCTTTGGGAGTTGTCAATTTTAGCAGTGTTTGACACAATGGCTTTGAACAAACTTTGTTAAAGCTCTTTATCAAACAACATTCAGGACTAGTGATGCTGGTACTATGCTTGAATTCCAAGAGGACTTCCCCAACCCGTCCGCCCACCTGAAATCATTTAGCAGCTGCCCAGGCTTTCAATCTGGTCCCCTGACTCCACCTTCCCCCCAATATTCCTTTTTGTGGCCTTGCTGGCTATGCCACAATAGGAAGGCACAGCTCTCATAGCTGCACAGAAATGTTAGGTACACCCCTCCGCCTATCTATAAAGGCTAGGGAATGGAGGGGAAAGCTCATCCAGTTTCTATGCAAACCTGGCTAATTCACATTTCCTGAACCGATACATGAAGCAAAAGGCAGCTATCCTTCAGAATGCATGCTTCTTCCAAATATCGCAGCACAGAAAATGCAAAGAATAAATGTTTACATTTTGAAAAGCGCAAACAAGAAAATGTGTATATTAGTCACACAAAAATATCATTGTACTAGGGGAAATTGGGCACAAAAATGTGTTTTCCTGTAAACTTAAAAATAATAATTTCGAAGTGATGAAGGAATGGGGGCAAACTCAATTTAAGATTTGGGAAAAAAAATTATGAGGTATTGGAAGAAGCCAAAAATGACAGATCCATCCATCCCTAGTGAAGGCTGCACTAGGCCAGTGGACTGGGAGGAGTTTGCTCATGCAATCAGTAAGTGCTTTTCATTCTGTATCCCTTCTCTGTAGGCTTGGGATATGAGCAGGGGGAGTGAGGCAGAAAAAAATAAATCTGTACAGCATAATAATAAATAATAATAATAATCATATAATTTATTATTTATACCCCACCCAATCTGGCTGGGTTTCCCCAGCCACTCTGGGCAGCTACCAACCAAATATTAAAAACACAATACAGCATTAAACATTAAAAACTTCCCTAAACAGGGCTGCCTTCAGATGTCTTTTAAAAGTAAGTTTATTTCCTTGACATCTGATGGGAGGGCATTCCACAGGGCAGGCGCCAGTACCGAGAAGGCCCTCTGCCTGGTTCCCTGTAACCTCACTTCCCGCAGGCTGAACGATGGTGGTGGAGATGTTTCTTCAGGTATACAGAACCAAGGCCATTTAGGGCTTTAAAAGTCAGCACCAACACTTTGAATTGTACAATGCCTTCGTTTCTGCAGTGTCTTTATACAGTATACACATTTTATTGCGTGTTCCCCATTCTTGGTGTAGATTGTCCTATTTAAACAATCCTTACATGTCATTTTTGTGTTCTGAATAGTTTCCCACCCCCTGGCACATTCTTTTAGTTAGCCTTTTTTTAAAAAAAAGATATTTATTAGAGTTTTACAAAATGAAAAAAGAAAAAGAAAAATACAAAATAAAAATAGTTAAAAAACAATTCCATCTTTCCATCACTTATCTTTCATTTGCTTGTTTCCCGGACCTCCTCACACCTCCCTTTTTGTATTCCCGTTCAATTTGTTAGTTCAGCAAATCCTTTCCCTCTTTGTTTATCCTAGTCTTTAATCTTAAAATATTATAACATTAAATTTTTGTCTGTTAATAGTCCCTTTTTTTTTCATACTCCTTATAGCGTTATAGCTGAAAACCACATAACTTTTGATCCAACATCATTCTAACATTCATTAATTTTACAATATTTCTGTAGGTAGTCTTTGAATTTCTTCCAATCTTCTTCCACCGACTCTTCTCCCTGGTCTCGGATTCTGCCGGTCATTTCTGCCAGTTCCATGTAGTCCATCACCTCCATCTTCTTTTAGTTAGTCTTAATCACACTCCCCCAGAGCCATCATACAGTGTCTTGTGTTGTTGTTGAGATTTAGCTTGGATTTGCCATTCACTGCATCAAAACTAAAATGGTTTCAGAGTTCTCTCTCTCTCTCTCTCTCTCTCTCTCTCTCTCCCTCTCCCTCTCCCTCTCCCTCTCCCTCTCCCTCTCCCCATACAGCCAAAGAAAGGTCTGACCATTGTATACACATCAGTCAACACATTCCATTCTGATAACTGGTATGTTCCGTTCATCTTCACACTGGCGGCAATTATGGCTGTTGGATTGCTTGCTTGGTTGTGTTTTCTGATATGGAGATATGGCGGGTGTAAGGAAGCATGTCTGAAACAGCGGACCAAAGCTCCCAGGGAAATAAAAAGGTATGTCTTTTGACATAATGGCCAAAATCCAAAGAATGAAAATCTGTGGAAACCTGTGAAGGACAGGAAGATGGTGCATACAATTAGAGTTGGGATTCCTTTGTGGCAGTTCTGTTTTCTATGGAAGGCTTGGGTGGTGTCGGTGGGGGGGGGGGCAGACGTCTTTAATACCAGTCTCATAGTCTCCCTTGTTGTGCTACCATTTCCCACCGCAGACAGACTTCCATAAGCCAATCTGGTAAGTTGATTCAAGGACCTGAACTTTCAGCCGCCAGTGAAAATAAATGCTGGGCCACATTTTGATCCACCTGCTGCAAGCATCTGTGAGAATTGATGCCTTATGTTCTATATGCATGGAACTAAAAGTATTATGTCTGATTTCTATTAAATGTCTTCTGTTACAGAACAAAGAAATATAGTTTAGGTAAGTCCTTCTGTGGAACTATAAATACAGTACTGTTGCTATGATGTTTGTTTTGTTATATCCATATCATGGATAATGTGTGTCTGTGTTCATTGATTTTATTCCCATAAGTAAAATGCCTTTTATTGTTGATGCAGGAACCCAGAACGAAAACATGGAAGTGATAACAGTAAGTAATATTGTGACACTGGCTGAAAAAGGACACAATTGGTAAAGAATTTTATTATGAAAGTTCACAATAATTAAATAAGTATACATTTTTGCTATGAGGTCAAAGTAAGTCCAGTCAAATTTGACTATGGGGTGCGGCACTCATCTCAGCTTTCAGGTCGAGTGAGCTGGCGTTTGTCTGCATGTCTGGGTCATGTGGCCAGCATGACTAAGCTGCTTCTAGCATACAAGACACCATGATGAGTGCCAGAGCATACAGAAATGCCATTTACCTTCCCGCCACAGTGCTACCTATTTATCTACTTGCACTGGTGTGCTTTCAAACTGCTAGGTTGGCAGGATCTGGGACAGAGCAACGCGAGCTCACCCCATTGCACGGATTCGAACTGCTGACCTTAAGATCAGCAAGCCCAAGAGGTTTGGTGGTTTAGACCATAGCGCCACCCGTGTCCCAGTAAAGAAAATATATATAGAGAGAGCCATCACTTCCATTAAAGCAAACATGGAAAGAATGCATCAGCCCCAGGCAGCTTGGCCAATGGTTGGCTATTATGAGAGTTGTAGTAAAACAACATCTGAGGAGCTAAATAAGCAACTATTCCCCCTCCCTTTGACTTCCCCACCCAAAAATCTGGTATCCGGCTGTTGCAAATCAGTGGTAGGTGTGTCCAGCATCTTCCTCCAGGGATGGTCCAGCATCTCTCCTCTTCCTTCAGTGGAAATCAGCATCAAGGCAAAGAAAGGTGATGGTAGCAAAACTTTTACCTGCTTTGCAGTTGGTCTGGCTGCTGCTTCTCTCCTGCTGCTGCTGAGGTACTGATGTTAATGGAGACCGAGTCATTTATTAATTACAATGTTTATGAAACTTGACTGCTATTGTTTTCACTTCAGGAAACCTCCACTTATGAAACTGTGTTCAACGGAGAAGCCAAAGATCCAGGTAATATATCCTCCCTAGGAGGAATGTGGGGAGCATTCACACGACACACTGACACACTAGCGTGTCGCGACACACAGTTTGGAAAGCTCTGATATAAGGAAACACACTAGCACAGAGAGATCCAGCCTGTATAGCAAATCTGTTTCCTTTTCCAGAGTTCAACTGTCCCAATCTGGTCAGTATTTGAGGAGTAAGATGATTTTCAGCAATCATTTACACATGCCTTCTATGGGTTGTACGGAAATACCTTTCACAAAATCCTTTGGCAGTAGATGGTGCCCCCAGGCCTCCTGGAGCTCACCTATTCATTTGTTCCCTTCAGTACTTCTTATTCAACAGCTACTACCTATGATGACTATGTTCTTTTTCCACTCTGAATACCAGTTACTGGGAATTACAAAGGAATGACCCTGCTTGTGGGCTTCCCATAAATAGCTCAGACAGTAGAGCATGAGACTCTTAATCTGAGGGCCCCACGTTGTTCAAAAATTTCCTGCATTGCAAGGGGTTGGACTGGATAACCCTCATGGTCCCTTCCAACTCTAGGTTTCTATGATTTGGTTGGCCAATGTACAAACTGGATGCTGGACTACATGGGCCTTTGGTTTCATAAAGCAAGGCACTTCTGATATTCTTCATCAATATGAAGCAAATTTTTCAGAAATGAAACTAACTTTGCATTCATTCTAGTCACAGCTAATAATGCAACGTTACACCATTTTTCTTTTCTTCCTTAGTCACAGGAAATCTTTATCAGTATAACAGCAAGTCAGGAGCAAGAAAGTGGAAGGTCCCTCAAGAACCCATCAGAAACAATCTGGATCTCACAAGCATATCTTCGGTGTCTCAGAGTCTCTCTCCTGAAAAGAACATGCCAATGAAATTCCCTAAAGATCCATAACTTCTTCAGCCTTTAAAGCCAATCATTTAATCATAACCCATCTATTTCTCTACTAGTCTTCAGCGGGAAGATGGATTTAGTATCAGGGAGTGGGGTTCAGATGGACTTTTGAAAAGAAACGTTTTCAGAATGAAGCCATGTATGTTTTTGAAGGCTTTTGAGACATGGGCTCTCTCCTTGGAAAGACACAATACAATATCGTTGTATCACCCTGCATCCCTAAGCAACTGCCAAAAATAGAGCGAAGCCAGGGAAGCCCACAATACAAGGACACCATGTCATGAGTTTTGTATTATGAAATTATGGTAGGGAACATTATTAAGCCTGAGGTCCACATTCACTCATGGGCAACTTTCCAGGGGGCAGATCCAGAGGCAAAAGTGGACAGAGCAATATATTACACATTTGTCTCCTCTACCTAGGCAAACAAGAGGCATTATCAGAGTGCAAGGACTCATTCTGGGCAGGCAAAAAAAACACTCAAATAGGATGTAGGGCTATGTAGGATCTGGTACCACCCCATTTCTAGCTCATTCATATAGTGCTAAACCCTGATTTAGTATTATGTGCTCATAGCCAACATGTAGATCTGGCATGAATTTGACTAAGGATGCACATAGTCCAATAGCTCTCCAATATCTTTGCTACCTGATATCCTTTTTCTGGGGATGTTAGAAGTTTATACAACTCCAACTTGTGATCTACCATTGAGCTAAAGCCATTTTCCATATGAAAGGCAATTTCTTGATTGTACTACTACTCCTGGTTTTTGTATATCTAATTAGGATCCATGAAACTTTGAAAAGGGCCTACATTTTGCTATGATTTCCCTGAGCATCTGAGTGCTTTATAAATCAACAATGTCTAATCCAATAACTCTGATATGAAAATGGCATTTAATCATTTTTTAATTTTTTAAAAAGAAAATTTGATCAATTGCTTTCTTTGTATTGAGGTTTATTAAAAAGAGGAAAAAGAGGAATGGGGAAAACCAATTCCCTTAGAAGTTTAATTTACTTATTACCTATTGATCTGGAGGCCTCTATAGGTTGGATATTGGAGCTGTAAGCAAATGTTTTGACTACATCTCCATAGTGACAGCAGTGACAGCAATCAATTCTAGGTGGCCCTATCTTGGATCATCAATAATGTTGGTTTAAACCATTAACACTTTGCAATTTTTTTTTTGTTTAAAATCTGGACACACTGAAAAGATTGTCAGGATGAAATCTCAGGATGCTTGTTGCTGCTCTGAAATATCAACTATGTTTCCTTAGCTAGATACGGTAAATTTTTCACATCGGCTCATCCTTTTTCATGGGCTCTAAATTCATCTTGAAATTTGACTGAGGAAGCAATGCTGATCAAAACTAGAGCTGGTGGAAAAGAGTGATTTAACCAAATAAAATATCATGGAACTGAGTCATTACAGAAGGAATAGTTTCATTGAATCACCCACTCCCACCATTTTGTTTCACTGATTCATTCCACTGATTCATCAGTGCATTTTCTGGGGAGCAACTGCCATTGAACTCAGTGGGGTGACATGCTTGTTTTTTGTTTTTAAAAAGATGGCTAATAGCAGTAGATGGCCCTCAATCCTATTTGGACCATGGTGAAATGAAGATTTTTTAAACTTAGCTGGAAACTACACAAAGAGTTTTGATGCATTTCTTATCTTTGCTACAATTCCTAGTCCATCACCTTCCCCTCTGATCATGTGCTTTTATTATGACGCTTGGATTCCTGACAAAAGGAATGAAATTAAAAAGAAGAAATTGGATGCCAAAATTTGCAAGGGAGTATATTTCTCTTCTTATTTTCCAGCACCAGATTGCTGATGATTTCTCTAGGTGGCTCCATTTAATTTGTTTATCTATATCACATTGTGCTGGTTAAATGAAAACTAAAACCTGTTTGGATCGAGCAGGGGAATCCTGATTGGTATCACATACCAAGGCTCTTCAAAATCTGGTTTCTATGCATATCTAGGAAGTTTGGAATTATTAAATTTGCACCTACTGTCTCTTCCCATCACTGAAAAAGACAATATGTGAAGCAGGTAGAGAAACAAGTTAGCAGAATGCACGTGCACTTTTTTTGGAAATTTGCAGCAAATTCACAGGAGCCCATCAATACTACCCTCTGATTTCCTGGGCTTCCTTGAAATGCAATTGTTTTTGGACGAGTGACTCTCAATGCATCTCATTAGTTAAGGCTGTCCAATAAACGAGGCCTTAATATTCATGGAGTTTGTGACAGGCACTCATCATTGTCATCCTCGTGCCTGGGAAGCGATGGGCAGCCACACTGGGGAAATCTATATGCAGCTACAGAAAGAGACTAATTTCACTTATTGATTGGTTATGCCAGGTGACTTGTTAGAGGTTAATTTGACAAAGGGAAATAATTTGCACAGCCCTCAACTTAGGCACATTTCTTTGTTTGCAAGAGATGAAACGATGAATTGCCAGCAAATGAACATGATCCCTTCCCCTACTCCCATTGGCCTGGTGCTGGGAAGCCTCCACCATGGTGCTTAGTGGTCCAGGTTGAGGCCAGTTACAGTTGTTGTAGCACTTCCTTGCTTTGCCTCCATTGGAAGGAGCCCTTGGCCATACTCATAATGAAGTACCATGAGGGCCAAGGCCATTTCTGAAAGGAGGCCCAAAGTCTGCCCTGCCCCAGTGGAAAATCTCAGTTGGCAGTACTATATGTTGGGTTTGGGTAGTGACAAATTTGTCAGGGCTTGCAATGGTCAACTGGAAGGCAGGGGTGCATCTGTAATATCCGGTCAGTGAAACCTTCCCGTTTTGAACCCAAGAAGTTCCTGATCTTCAAGACTATGCCATATGCACCATAGATATTTGATCTCCAGTTGACACACAGGCATAGAAATCTGTAGCTCCATCTCTCCAGTGTAAACAACATGGGGTACGTCTTCTCTTATGTCTCTTATGTTTGTGTTGGTGTGCATGAAAGCAAAGATGGGCAGGGAGGAACTGGGCAGGGAGGAATACATCTGAATATTCCCGATGCCTCACACATCTTGCCTAGATAGTGACAGCTACTTCTTTGATCTAAGGAATGACAAACAATGTGCCTGCTCCTTTCCCATGATAGGTATCTATCGTAGTCCCACCACGAATCACTGGGGTTTTTAAGTTTAGGGGTGGATCTACACAGAGGGAAAAACAAGCATAACTATAAACAAGTCAGAAATTAAATCTTTATAATAAAGTTTCCCGGGAACAGTCCCCAGATTTATAAATCAGTCCCCTGACAAAATCCTATCATTCCGGCTCATTTCAATGAAGTGTCCCTGGATTCATTGAGAAATAATCTGGTAACCTTACATTATAACAAAAGAAAAAAACACTTTGGAAAATTGCTTAGAAAATTCCTTTGCTCTCTGGTGCCAGCTGGTGTTGCATCTATATAACGCATTCAAAACACTGTTTCTTGACTAATGTAGCTGAGTCCCAGGTGTTAGGGAGATACCAGGAATGGTAGGAGGCTATGCTTCTCAGTATCAAAATGCCCTGCCCTGCCATGACTGGCTTTGCAACCAACTGTAATGAGCTTTGAATTTTCTGGATGTTTAGAGCTGGTTCAGAGGGGGTCATAGGAATCAGTCCAAACTGGCATTTCAGCTTGATGGGGGTCCCCCCGCCTTTAGATTGTTGCAGAACTCCTTTATTCCATTTCTGTGCAATTTCCTTCCTCCTTTCTTTCCTTTTTTGACAGAACCCAGTAACATTAATTAAGCACAGAGTCTCCTGGATTTCGAACATGAATATACATGATTGTCTCTAACAGCTTTCCTAGTGCAATTGTTCAAATGATGAATGGAGCGGGTTGGAGAATAATTAGTGTTCTCATGAAAATGCTTGTTGATGCAGAGAGGCTTAAATAACCTTAAATGGCGGCTGCTAACCAGTTAGTGCCAGAAGAACATTAGAAGACCTCTCTGGATAGACAAATGACCCACCTAGTACAACATTCCGAAAGCCATGGGTGCTTTCGGAATGTGCTCTGCCACTCATTATCTCCAGTTATGAGAATTCAGAAGAAAACAACTTCTGGACCTTAGCAGCCATTACGACAAGAAGTCATCAATAGTCTGATCCTCCAGGAATTTGTCTAAGCTCTTTTTAAAAGATGCCCAGGTCGGTGGCCATCATCGCATCTGGTAATGGCAATTCACGTTGTCAGAGTGAATGGAAGTACAGTCGTGCCTTGGCTTTCGAACAAAATGCATTCCGAAAGTTTGTTCGTCTTCCGAAGCGTTCAGAAACCAAGTTGTGGCTTCTGATTGGCTGCAGGAGCGTCTTGCAGCCAATCGGAAGCTGCAGAAGCTGTGCCGGACGTTTGGCTTTCCGAGGCAAAGTTTGCAAACCGGAACACCTACTTCCGGGTTTGCGATGTTCGAGTTCCGAATTGTTCGTGAACTAAGCTGTTCAAAAACCAAGGTACAGGCCTCCCCAATTTCCATATTGTTATGTACTGAGTTGAATAGGATCCAAAATGCAGCAGTCTGATTGGTCCTAGAACAATAGGATCCAGAATGCAGCAGTCTGATTGGTCCAAGAACAATAGGAGTCAGAATGCAGCAGTCTGATTGGTCCTAGAACAATGCAGCAGTATGATTGGTCGGCAGGAGCCACCCAATCCAGCTCCAGGTGGAAGTGAATCCGCAACCTGATTGGCCTACAGGAGAATCCTGGAATTAGCCAATCACGTGTATATAAAGCAGATATTTTGGGGGAACTTCAATTCCTCACTACCATGAGCTGAATAAAGAGCATGAAATCCACTCTTGACTCCAAGTATATTTCACATATTCACAAAGGATGCTGGGAGACGCATCCGCCAGACTTGAAACCGCCAAACTTCTCATACTCCGGGCAGGATCAAAGCCTTTTTCTTTACGCCTTCATTTGTCAACCACCCCGAGGAACCACAGGAGGCAAATGGAGACAGATAAAATATGGTATTGATGAGCTGGATAATGCATGTGCAAGAGAAAGGGAGCCCTCTATTGGATGCCAGAGAGTGACAGGCACAATGCGGCAGATGGTACCCTGTGGTGTGATAAAGCTGGGCCCTCCACGATGCTCACACAGGCGTGACAAATGATGTACAAAGTAAGGGGTTTGGTTTTTTTTTTAAGGCCTGTGTAGCATCGTGGAGAGATGTGCTGGATTTGATCATGCTAAAGCAAGGTTGGGTTGTTGTCGTTGGTTAAATGCATTTGTCTGTAGCTCCTTCCCAGACCCTCATATTTAATTTGAACTATAGAGCTCTGACAAACTTCTTAGTGGCCTCTCACCATTTCCTTGCAGACTGCCCAATGCATCATTTCTCAATACGCCCGTCTCTTCCTGGCACGGCCGCTGTAAGCCATCAGGCTTAAATATATATATATAATTTAAAGTCCCCCTGCTGTAGTTCACATTAACCTAATTAACCACCATGATGAGCTTCGACATTTCACATAATTAGATGGCAGAAGCAATTTTTCACATTTTAAAAAGCAATTCATTCAGTCTGTAGGGTGGAATTCAGTATCACACAGTTCCCATTGTTCTATCTGCACAAGCATTGCAGCTTGCGGGATGGGATGATCCCTCTTCTCCTCCCCCTGAACACTGCTCTGGGGTCTCTCCTGGCCCTCCCCCCCCAGCCAATTGGGTGGGGGGAAAGGCTAGGGCAAAGCCGTTTTGTGCAAGCAGAATCTTGTACAGCCTGCCATTCTGTTTTTGTCTACTTTGCTCCTCTTTTTCCCTCTTTTTCTCTATGATTCCTTCTTAAAGTGAATGCATCCTTAGGGTGTGAATTCATTCTAACAAGGCATCCCAATCTTTTTTGTAACTGCTTTTGGGTTTGGGGACGTAAGACGTAATTTACTACATATATTTCTCGCTACCATGTCCAGTGTCAGATGGAACTGTGATTTTTAACTTTTCTTTTTAAAATGATTTTATTGATACATCAGGACAACAAAACAGAAGAA